TTTGGTGTACAGTTTTTTGAAGTTTGAAATGACCTGCTGGTCCATGGGCTGGAGGAGAGGAGTGGTATTAGGAGGCAAAAACTTCACTCTGATGAAGCTAAACTCTCCCACAATTTGCTTTTCCTAGTCTGAAGGATGAGCTAGAGTACTGTTCATTACCAGTAGGCACTTGAAGTCTAATTTACTTTTCAGGAGGTATTTTTTTTTCACAGTGGGGCCAAACACGACAAAGAACCAATCGACGACAATGTCCCTAGTGACCCATGCCTTAATGTTTGCTCTCCACATCACACACAATTTAGGCTTGACGACACTGTTTTTCTTGAACACTCTGGGAGTTCAGAGTGATACACGAGTAAAGGCTTCACTTTGCAATCACCACTAGCATTACTACAAAACATGAGAGCTACCCTGTCTTTCATAGGCTTGTGTCCTGGGAGTGCCTTTTCCTCCTGAGTAATGTAGGTCCTGTTTAGTATTTTCTTCCAAAACAGGCCTGTAGTGTCACAATTAAACACTTGTTGGGGGTTTTAATTGTTCAGCCTCTATGTACTCCTTAAAGTCCTGCAAATATTTTTCAGCCACTTTTTTGTCAGAACTGGCAGCCTCATCATGTCCTACCACACTGTGTATGCCACTACGATTCTTAAATCTCTCAAACCAACCTTTGCTGGCCTTAAATTCACTAACATCAGCACTATTTGGAGGCATTTTCTTAACTACATAAATCATCATGCAACTGCTTTGCTTTTTCACATATTACTGACTGAGAAACACTATCTCCTGATAATCATTTCTCGTTGATCCACACCAACAACAGTCTCTCCACATCTTCAAGTATTTGTGATCTCTGTTTTGTAAGCATACTTGCACCTTTTGCAACAACAGCTTCCTTGATTGGCTTTTTGTTGACCAAGATAGTAGCAATGGTTGAATGGGGTTTGTTATACAACCTGGCCAACTCGAGACACACACTCCATTTTCGTATTTTGAGATCATCTCTTTCTTCAATACAATAGTATTTCTCACCCTTTTTTACCACAGGGTTGGCACTAGAAGGTTTCTTTGGGCCCATGGTGGCTTATTTAGCAGTTACAAGCACTAAAAACAATGGAATAATACAAAATATATTGCATGTACGTGTGGAATCGTCCGCACTGGCTTGTAAACACCGGCACACTAGCTGTTAGCTGTACATGGAGTGGCTGGGCCTGCTCAGGGCACGTGGACACGTTCGGGACGAACGTCCTTAACCGAGTTCTTTGTTATTAGTCGAGCCAATATTTTGACGCAAAAATGTGTCGCTACCCGATTTTTTCGTTAGCCGATGACGTCATTACCCGGGGGTCCACTGTACATCCTGAAACCTACCCATCAACCTTTTATCCACCAATACATAATCTAACAATTTTCATTACATGTTATAACATATCTTGTATACCTATTTATCCTCTTTTTCATAAAATATGTACATTACTTATTACCAAACCTCTTTCTACATTTTCATTTACCCCTGGCACCCCAAATTTACCTACTACTCCCTCTACAACATTTTTACCCACTTTAGCATCGAGATCCTCAACTTATTTTGGGAAAAAATAACATCTTTGATGCTGTAAGCAGTGATCATGTTTTTCTGGTACAGTGCCTATACAGTACAGTACCAAATTACACTTCGGGTCCTATCGCCAAGCTGTCCCATTTTATAGAAGCAAATAAACAAATGTGTGATGTAACCGTGGTTGTTCAATATATTTATAGATGGGGTTGTAAGAGAAGTAAATGCGAGGGTCTTGGCGAGAGGTGTGGAGTTAAAAGATAAAGAATCACACATAAAGTGGGAGTTGTCACAGTTGCTCTTTGTTGATGACACTGTGCTCTTGAGTGATTCTGAAGAGAAGTTGCAGAGGTTGGTGGATGAATTTGGTAGGGGATGTAAAAGAAGAAAACTGAAAGTGAATACAGGAAAGAGTAAGGTTATGAAGATAACAAAAAATTAGGTGATGAAAGATTGGATATCAGATTGGAGGGAGAGAGTATGGAGAAGGTGAATGTATTCAGATATTTGGGAGTGGACATGTCAGCGGATGGGTCTATGAAAGATGAGGTGAATCATAGAATTGATGAGGGGAAAAGGGTCAGCAGTGCACTTAGGAGTCTGTGGAAGCAAAGAGGGAAATGTATGAGAGTATAGTTTTACCAACGCTCCTGTATGGGTGTGAAGCATGGGTGATGAATGTTGCAGCGAGGAGAAGGCTGGAGGCAGTGGAGATGTCATGTCTGAGGGCAATGTGTGGTGTGAATATAATGCAGAGAATTCTTAGTTTGGAAGTTAGGAGGAGGTGCAGGATTGCCAAAACTATTGTCCAAAGAGCTGAGGAAGGATTGTTGAGGTGGTTCGGACATGTAGAGAGAATGGAGCGAAACAGAATGACTTCAAGAGTGTATCAGTCTGTAGTGGAAGGAAGGCGGGGTAGGGGTCGGCCTAGGAAAGGTTGGAGGGAGGGGGTAAAGGAGGTTTTGTGTGCGAGGGGCTTGGACTTCCAGCAGGCACGCGTGAGTGTGTTTAATAGGAGTGAATGGAGACAAATGGTTTTTAATACTTGATGTGCTGTTGGAGTGTGAGCAAAGTAACATTTATGAAGGGATTCAGGGAAACCGGCAGGCCGGACTTGAGTCCTGGAGATGGGAAGTACAGTGCCTGCACTCTGAAGGAGGGGTGTTAATGTTGCAGTTTAAAAACTGTAGTGTAAAGCAAGACAGTGATGGAGTGAATGATGGTGAAAGTTTTTCTTTTTCGGGCCACCCTGCCTTGGTGGGAATCGGCCAGTGTGTTATTAAAAATAATAAAAATATATACAAATGTTCCAAAATCCAAAAAAATCTGAAATCTGAAACACTACTGGTTCCAAGCATTTCAGATAAAAGATTTTCAACTGTGTTTATCTTTCTGCAGCACCAATTATCATGCCACAGAAGCCTGAAAACAAATCAGTGGATTTTCATTATGTTTTGTGTGGTAAAATTAAATAAGCTGGTCTCTCACTATCATAGTGAGATCAATTAGTTTATGAACATTAAACACAGAATTTATAAAACAGGGCACAAGTTAAAATGAAAAACTATTTAAAGTAACAGTGAACATGTGCAGGTCTCAATAACAGCAGTTCTAAAGCATTACATAGCCCCCTCACTGCCTGCACCATATATAAAGTTTGGGTGGAATCAAGATCAGGTTAACCCTTTCAGGGTCCAGAGGTAAAATTTCAAAGTGTGCACCAGGGTCTAAGAATTTTCAAAAAATAATTTTGTTATTTTTTCTCATGAAATGGTAGAGAATCTTTTTCTGAAGGTAATAAAACAAAAAGTACGAAATTTGATGGAAAATTGACGAAATTATGCTCTCGCGAATTTTGATGTGTCGGCGATATTTATGCATCTGCGATTTTGCCAACTTTGACTCCCATTTTAGGCCAATTACAGTATTCCAGTCAACCAAATTCTTAGCCATTTCACTAGTATTACTTCTATTCTATTGATTGAGCACAAGAAATCGCCAAGTCAACTGTTTCAACAACAAAATAAAGTTACCGGAAATTGGTAATTTGGCCAATTTAATGCAAAGTTCAAAATATTCCTATTTCAAAACAGGGTCCAGAATAAACAACGCAGGCATTCCTGGCACTAAACTAACATTTCCTCTGTTCATTAGTTACATTTTCAGGCTTTACAAATGAATTCAATTTTTATTTTTTATTCACATAATGAATTTTATTCAAACCAAAAAATAGGATTTATTGTTATGCAATACTGTAATAATTGTATAAATAATATCACCACATTTGTGAATGTATATTATACCCACCAGCTGTCATGTATTAGACTTGTGAGGTCATTTGTTTACTCTTGAACATAGGCAAAAATTAAACATTTCTGCTACTTTGAGTTCAGTTTCAAACCATTTCCAATGCTAAAACCAATGAAAATCATCTCTATTTCTGTAGAATATCTTCCATTCTATCAAATGAGACCAGGAAATTGCAAATACAACAATAAAAAACATACAAAAAACACTGCAAATTTGCTGTTTTGATCGAAAATTACGGTCTCAGTTTTTTTCTCTCATTATGCACTGTGTGCTGCAGGATTTGTTTTATGTGGTGCACACATACCACATAGATGTATTCTCTCACATCTAGGCCCAAATTTACTGCTCACAGTTTATCAGAGTGAGCTGAGCTCATGGCATAGATCTACAGTTCGGACCCTGAAAATAAAGCCGTAGATCTACAGCACGGACCCTGGAAGGGTTAACTAGCCAGGATTAGAGATGACAGAAGGTTTTATGTTATCACTGTGAAAGTAAAATTAGACTGTTGCTGTAAGTCAATATCTAGCAGGCACTAGCTAGCAGGGGTTTAAGATTGCAAAAATATAATGTAATGATAGCGCAAGCTAAACTAGAGTGCCACTTCACTACCCTGAGGATGCTTGTGTCAGATTAGATGCTGCAAGCATCAACAGCCTGACTTACCAATCATAAACCAGGAGGCTTGGTCTGAGATTAGGAAGCACTGATCCCCAATACCATCAGGTAGACATGATATAGGTAGGTAGAGGGGAGCAGCATTGTAAGAATGATCAATAGGTGAAATAATAACCCCTTTATACGTATCTCCAAATATGACACTTACATGAATGACCAAGGCCAACAAGTGTACCCCTAGTATAAAATGACTAAACCCAACATGAATGAATGACCAACAGGTATGAATGGCCTAGGTGGAATGGCCTAGAAAGTGAAGTAGTGGAGGCGGGAACCATACATAGTTTTAAGGCGAGGTATGATAAAGCTCATGGGGCAGGAAGAGAGAGGACCTAGTAGCAATCAGTGAAGAGGTGGGGCCAGGAGCTATGACTCGACCCCTGCAACCACAAATAGGTGAGTACAGACCAACATAAAAATATGAGGTAATGATATTTATGATTAGACTACAAACCTCTAACTCAAGCTTGTCTCCAGCCAGAGCAGCAGCTTCAGCTTCCAGTGTAGCTAAACGTCCCTCCAGCTCTCCTGCTTTCTCTTTATGAGTTTCAAGTTGTTTAGTTAAGCTCCTTATCTGAAAAATAAATATGATGTAAATGATTCAATAAAGAAAATAAATCAAATAATTTAGTGAGAAGGTACGAGTTTATGTCTGTGATTATATCAAAATACGTACTGTCTAGAACTGGAAGCGCAATTTACAAGTCTCTCAAATAACTGAAAGAAAATGCACAAAATTAAACAGCCCAAAGCCTACATTTAGTTAATTTGAAAAAATGCCACATTCACTAGGTTACATTAAATCTAAATTGTACACTTTACACACTCATGACTGTAACAGGTACTTCCTGTTATTAACCCTTTCAGGGTCCAGAGGCCAGGGTCCAAGAACTTTCAAAAAAAAAAAAAAAAAAAAAAAAATATGTTATTTTTTCTTATGAAATGGTAGAGAATCCTTTTCTGAAGGTAATAAAACAAAAAGTACGAGATTTGATGGAAAATTGACGAAATTGTGCTCTTATGAGTTATGACATGTCAGCGACATTTACGCTGACATGTAATAATTCATGACATGACATTATTCCAGTCAACCAAATTCTTAGCTATTTCACTAGTATTACTTCTATTCTATCGATTGAGCACAAAAAATCGCCACATCAACTGTTTCAACTACAAAATAAAGTGATCGGATAATGGTAATTTGGCCAATTTAATGCAAAGTTCAAAATATTTCAATTTCAAAATAGGGTCCAGAATAAACAATGCAGGCATTCCTGGCACTAAGCTAACATTTCCTCTGTTCATTATTTACATTTTGAGGCTTTACAAATGAATTCCATTTTGATTTTTTATTCAAATACAGTGGACCCCCGCATAGCGAACGCCTTGCATAGCGAACAATCCGCATAGCGAACGCTTTGTTCGCTGAAATTTTGCCCCGCATAGTAGACAAAAACCCGCTCAGCGAACTTCGTCCGAGACGCGTCCAATGTGGGCCCTCAGCCAGCCTCACATGTGCCGCCCGTCCCATTGTTTACCAGCTAGCCTCCGCGGTAACATTCAAGCATACACTCGGAATATTTCGTATTATTACAGTGTTTTCGGTGCTGTTTCTGGAAAATAAGTGACCATGGGCCCCAAGAAAGCTTCTAGTGCCAACCCTGTGGTAAAAAGGGTGAGAATTAGTATGGAAATTAAGAAAGATTTTGAAGGGTTTGGGGCTAACCCTGAGAAGCCTATGCCAGTTGTGGAATCCATTGTGCCTACTTCAAAAATTAAGGAAATGTGTGCACAGTGGGTTGAACTGCAAACCTTTATGGATGAAAATCACCCTGACACAGCTGTTGCAAGCCGTGCTGGTGACTATTTCAATGACAATGTTATGGCCCATTTTAGGAAAGTCTTGAAGGAACGGGAGGTACAGAGCTCTATGGACAGATTTGTTGTGCGACAGAGGTCCAGTGACTCTCAAGCTGGTCCTAGTGGCATTAAAAGAAGAAGGGAAGTAACCCCAGAAAAGGACTTGCTACCTCAAGTCCTAATGGAAGGGGATTCCCCTTCTAAACAGTAAGAAGATAATGCTCTCCCCTCCTCCCATCCCATCAATCATCACCAGATCTTCAATAAAAGTAAGTGTCATGTAATTGTGCATGCCTTTTTCAGTTTGTGTGTACTAAAATTAACATTTTTTTGTGGTAAAAAAATTTTTTTTTCATACTTTTGGGTGTCTTGCACGGATTAATTTTATTTCCATTATTTCTTATGGGGAAAATTAATTCGCATAGCGAACATTTCGCATAACGACCAGCCCTCTTGCACGGATTAAGTTCGCTATGCGGGGGTCCACTGTAATGAATTTTTATTCAAACCAAAAAATAGAAGATTTACTGTTATGCAACATTGTAATACAGTGGACCCCCGCCTTACGAACGCATCGCGTTACATTAAATCCGCCATACAAAGCATTTGAAAGCAAAAATTTTGCCTCGCCTCACGATAAAAAACTCGCCTTACGTGATTCGTCTGGGACGCGTCCCATGTGTGGCCTCAGCGCCAGTGTTTACAAGCCAGCCAGTGTGGTCACATCTACGCATACATTCGGTACATTTCACATTATCCCAGTGTTTTTAGTGCTTGTAACTACAAAATAAGTCACCATGGACCCCAAGAAAGCTTCTAGTGCCATCCCTGTGGTAAAAAGGGCGAGAATTAGTATGGAATTGAAAAAGAGATTAAAGAAATGTGTGCAAAGTGGGTTGAACTGCAAACGTTTACGGATGAAAATTGCCCTGACACAGCTACTGCAAGCCGTGTTGGCAACCTGTACAATGACAATGTTATGGCCCATTTTAGGAAAGTCTTAAAGGAACAGGAGGTACAGAGCTCTATGGACAGATTTGTTGTGCGACAGAGATTCAGTGACTCTCAAGCTGGTCCTAGTGGCATTAAAAGAAGGGAAGTAACCCCGAAAAAGGACTTGACACCTCAAGTCCTAATGGAAGGGGTTCCCCTTCTAAAACAATAACTTCTACACTCCCTTCTTCCCATCCCATCAATCATCACCAGATCTTCAATAAAGGTAAGTGTCATGTATTCTATTCTTAGTAGAGTAGTAATTGTGCATGTCTTCTTCAGTTTGTGTGTATTAAAATTAATATTTCATTTGGTAAAAAAAAATTTTTTTTCATACTTTGGGGCGTCAGGAACGGATTAATTTGATTTCCATTACATGTATTTCTTATGGGGAAAATTAATTCGGCTAACGATAATTTCGGCTTACGATGAGCTCTCAGGAACAGATTAATATCGTAAGGCGGGAGTCCACTGTACATATAAAATATGCAATAACTATAAAACACTTGAAATTCTGGAAAGTCCAGATATAATGAGAATGCAAACAAAGCGGATGGAGCATGGTGACTGTGAAGAGTCAGGTGGGAGGACCCGTATAGCAAGATTTGGTTATAAGTAATTTCAAATATCCATAATTTCAAATATCTATACAGTAAGGCCCTGCTTTATGGTGTTTCGCCTTACGGCAAAACACCATAAAGCAGGGCCCTACTGTATATTTTTTTCAACAAACCAGCTATATCCCACTGAGGCAGGGTGGCCCAAAAAGAAGTAATTTATGCAGAAGAAGGGGTTACTAGCCCCTTGCTCCCAGCATTTTAGTCTCTTCTTACAACAAGCATGGCTTATGGAGGAAGATTTTGTTCCACTTCCCCATGGAGATAAGAGATGGGTGTGTGTTATATAAACTTGTACATGCATGTGTAGTGTGACCTAAGTGTAAGTAGAAGTAGCAAGATGTACCTGAAATCTTGCATGTTTACGAGACAAAAAAAAAAACACAATCAATCCCACCATCATGTAAAACAAGTACAGGAAAATAAATAAATAAATATATATTTTTTTTTTTTTTTTTTTTTTTTCAACTAGTCGGTCGTCTCCCACCGAGGCAGGGTGACCCAAAAAAAGAAAGAAAATCCCCAAAAAGAAAATACTTTCATCATCATTCAACACTTTCACCACACTCACACATTATCACTGCTTTTGCAGAGGTGCTCAGAATATAACAGTTTAGAAGCATATACGTATAGAGATACACAACATATCCCTCCAAACTGCCAATATCCCAAACCCCTCCTTTAAAGTGCAGGCATTGTACTTCCCATTTCCAGGACTCAAGTCCGACTATATGAAAATAACCGTTTCCCTGAATCCCTTCACTAAATATTACCCTGCTCACACTCCAACAGATCGTCAGGTCCCAAGTATCATTCGTCTCCATTCACTCCTATCTAACACGCTCATGCACGCTTGCTGAAGTCCAAGCCCCTCACCCACAAAACCTCCTTTACCCCCTCTTTCCAACCCTTTCGAGGACGACCCCCTACCCCTCTTCCTTCCCCTATAGATTTATATGCTTTCCATGTCATTCTACTTTGATCCATTCTCTCTAAATGACCAAACCACCTCAACAACCCCTCTCTCTGCCCTCTGACTAATGCTTTTATTAACTCCACACCTTCTCCTAATTTCCACACTCCCGAATTTTCTGCATAATATTTACACCACACATTGCCCTTAAACAGGACATCTCCACTGCCTCCAACCGTCTCCTCGCTGCTGCATTTACCACCCAAGCTTCACATCCATATAAGAGTGTTGGTACTACTATACTTTCATACATTCCCTTCTTTGCCTCCATAGATAACGTTTTTTTGACTCCACATATACCTCAACGCACCACTCACCTTTTTTTCCCTCATCAATTCTATGATTAACCTCATCCTTCATAAATCCATCCGCCGATACGTCAACTCCCAAGTATCTGAAAACATTCACTTCTTCCATACTCCTCCTCCCCAATTTGATATCCAATTTTTCTTTATCTAAATCATTTGATACCCTCATCACCTTACTCTTTTCTATGTTCACTTTCAACTTTCTACCTTTACACACATTCTCAAACTCATCCACTAACATTTGCAATTTTTCTTTAGAATCTCCCATAAGCACAGTATCATCAGCAAAAAGTAACTGTGTCAATTCCCATTTTGAATTTGATTCCCCATAATTTAATCCCACCCCTCTCCCGAACACCCTAGCATTTACTTCTTTTACAACCCCATCTATAAATATATTAAACAACCATGGTGACATTACACATCCCTGTCTAAGACCACTTTTACCGGGAAGTATTCTCCCTCTTTTCTACACACCCTAACCTGAGCCTCACTATCCTCATAAAAGCTCTTTACAGCATTTAGTAACTTACCACCTATTCCATATACTTGCAACATCTGCCACATTGCTCCTCTATCCACTCTATCATATGCCTTTTCTAAATCCATAAATGCAATAAAAACTTCCCTACCTTTATCTAAATACTGTTCACATATATGCTTCAATGTAAACACTTGATCTACACATCCCCTACCCACTCTGAAACCTCCTTGTTCGTCCGCAATTCTACATTCTGTCTTACCTCTAATTCTTTCAATTATAACCCTACTGTATACTTTTCCTGGTATACTCAGTAAACTTATTCCTCTATAATTTTTACAA